ATATATATGTGAATACACTCTGACGGCTGGAACAACAGCCTACATTGTCAGCGAGGCAGGCAGCTGAAGCAGCAATAATTAGTTACTAGTTATGCTTGCTCTGTAGTGCGAGTTAGACATTTACCAGACAAAGCCGCGAATTGATTCAACTTAAATTCGTCGTCCATCGACCTGAGGTAAAACGGAGGCAAGTCAAGCGCGTAGATCAGCTTTGTAGAGAGGCATACCCTCACAATGCATGACGCTGAATAAGTGCCATCGCAAATGTGAAATGTCTCGAACCGCATGTCGAGCCCTTTGCACGCGTTTATGAAAAATATATACATATATACATAGATCTATAGCGAGAGTCATACACGATGCATAATGAATAAAGCAGCTTGGCCAAGCTGATGAGTCACACGGTATACGCAGGTCGATTGTTTTCGTGTTATGGCGAATAAAGCATACCAGAAAATATTTTCTAGTAAAAAGAGCGCATGTCGGCTTTGTCTTGCTCTATTGTCAGCGTAATCGTGACCGCGGCCGGTGACCTTTGATGACCTCTCTACCGGAAACGACTCAAGGTAGCGACGAATCCGCTCGATACAACGATACCTCCGCTAATTGTTTATATAATTATAATAGCCTATATCGTTTTCCTAGCGTTTACTCTGCACTCACGGGAATTCAGGAAAACATGGCGGTAATAGCGAAACTAAGAATAACGCGACGGCCAATCATTCACCGCCACTACAACTATCTAACATGGCGGCTATCGAACATGGCGCCCAAACAACATGGTTACCCGACCAACATGGCGTCCGGGCACATATTAGGCGAATTGCTGCCACGCAACACGTCGCATAGCCGACAAACGCCTCGGTATACTATATTGAACACTTCACCGCGCGCTTTGAAGGCTTGTGGGCTGGCTGCTGGAATGAACAGGACCAGCGTTAACGCAAGGCGGTGCAGGCGGAGACGTTATCTGCTGACGCGTCGGCTGGACAATGCGGTGAGTGAGGGCCGCCCTCCACGCTGCCGACATGGCCGTGCCATCAGCGGCCGACAATACTCGTCATTAGCGACCGTGTCGGCGAGTAAACAGTTTGTGTAAACGACCAACGAGGCAACAACGTGGCCACAGCCTGAAATTATTAGGTCTTTGTCAACGAGGAAGAATTCGGAGAGACCATAGCAAGCTCTATACCGTTGGTCGCGAGGACGTACAGTGCAATCAGGAAGGTTCTCTCTCTCTCTCTCTCTCTCTCTCTCTCTCTCTCTCCGCGGCCGAGGTACCTTTTAGGCGTGAGAGCTTTGCTTCTGAGGGCGGGGGCGGTTAGACGCACGCAACGCCACTGGCATTGGCGTGCGCCCAATATATTTTAGAGATATTATATATCGAGTAGCAAGGTAGGTGGTACTGTCGCGTTAGGTAGGGGGTTTATATGAGGAGGCTGAGGTAGTGCTCCGGCGAATAGGGGGTGGGTAGTG